CAGCTATGTTTTGGTTGCAGCCGTCATTGTTGTTTGGTGGGCCCAGGCTGGATTTGAACTGCCAGCTCTGGTGTATGTGGCTGGCACCTTAGCCGCTTGAGTCACAGATGCCAAGCCAAGATTAAAGTCAATTTTACCTATTTCTTTCCTTTCTTTTTTTTTTTAAAAGACGGAGTCTCAGGCTGGAGTATAGTGGTGTCATTGTAGTTCACTGTAGCCTCAAACTCCTGGGCTCACGTGATCCTTCCACCTTAGACTCTTGAGTAGCTGGGACTACAGTTGCATGCCACCATGCCCAAACCTATTTCTTTTTACTTTTTAAAAATGTAGCTGCTATAAAACTTAAGTTATATTTATAGTTCATGTTACATCTCTGTGTATAATAAAGAAAATATACATTTCATTTGTTGTGAGGAAACTTCAAGATAATGCATAGATGGCTTTTGCTAGATGGGTACTATCATCTTCTTAGTAAATTTCATGACAGATTTCAGAACCACAGGCCTAGGTCAATAATGCTGTTTTGTTTTTAGCAATTACAATTAACCTTGAGAAAATACAATTGATACTATTAATGCTTGGGGGTTATTTTTCCTAGCTTTCTCATCATACAGATCAAAGTGTTATTCAGATTATAAAAGTATTACAGAAGAGAGTTCATGGAAAGTTGATTTATCATATGGGCATTATATTGGACCTTTAATTCTAATGTGGTTTTGTTTGTTTGTTTATTGAGACAGAGTTTCACTATGTCACCCTCGGTAGAGTGCCATAAAGTCACAGCTCACAGTAACCTCAAACTCTTGGGCTTAAGCGACTCTCTTGCCTCAGGTTCCCAAGAAGTTGGGACTACAGCCACCTGCCACAACCCCCGGCTACCTTTTTGTTGCAGTTGTCACTGTTGTTTAGCAGGCCCTGGCTGGGCTTGAACCTGCCAGCCTCAGTGTATGTGGCTGGCACCTGTTTTACAATGTAACAATCTGTAAAGAAATCGGTCCTACATATTATGAGAAGAACTGCTCTAGAGTCACAAGCCATAAAACTAAAAATTTCTGAAGCAGAGAGATAAAGCTATGTTGCCTTGGCTCAGGGTCAGGGAGAAGAGGCTGAGGAATCAGAAGGAAACTGTTGGGAACAGATTGAGGCCAGTGGGGTAACATGGCAAAGGAGAAAAAGGTCCTTACTGGAAGAGTAAGAATGGGAAAAAAAAATAATTCACAAAGAGGAAAACACTAGCCATCTGGCAAACTTGTGCTCAAAGGGGTATCCCTCCAAAGGGAACAGGTTTCCTTCAGCTTCAGCCAGCCCTTGTTATCCTTAGAGCAGCAACTGTTCCCTTTTTTTAGCTTATGGAAACATCCTAAGGATCTAATAAAAATTAACACCTTTCTGGAAAAATTTATATGTCTATAATTTTAAATACAATTAAATTTAAGAATGAATGGCTTGGCGCCTATGGCTCAAGTGGCTAAGGCGCCAGTCACATACACCTAAGGTAGCGGGTTCGA